ACTCCGTAGAGATGAGAGCAGATAGGTGGTTGTCAGAAGAGCTCTGGTGGTGTGTTGGTCCGGGAGGACCTGAGAAACAAATTCACAGACACTTATATGTGCATAAGAAAGAGCTGTATATACAAGAGCAATTAAATATTGAGAAAACTTCCCAGCCCAGTCCAGATCAAGTCCATCAGTCCGATATTAGGCCATATGTCCGACACCAATCTATAAAGTCCTCTTCAGACTCATGAAACACATGCAATGATGCTGAATGCAGGAAGATGATAGGCCAGTGGATAGAAAGTCTTGTGGATCCAGTAGCAGTGTAAGCATGTCAGTACTGGCATGGGTCTCCAGGTGGCTTCTCCGGCCCCAGGGAACTAGCATAGCTCCATGTATCTTGTCATCTGCGCTGGAGTGAGCTATTTATCTCCTTCGTGCCTGCAAATGGGGTCATCAAGCTGAGACCTGATTGACAGGCTAGACTCCACCCCTTCACAAGTTGACATGAGATTGTGTAACTGCTACAGGTGGTGTGGTGGTTATACATTGGGCTGCTAACTTCAAGGCCAGCAGTTCAAAAGCACCAGATACTCCACAGGAAAAAGACAAGGTTTTCTATTCCTGTAGAGAATTTCAGTCTTGGAAACCCACAAGGGCAGTTCTACCCTGTCCTATAGAGTGACTATGAGTCAGAATTGATTTGATGGCCATAGTCGAATGGCTGGGGTGAGGGTGGGGTGAGGGAAAGAGATTTGGGAAACAACTGTTAATGGGCTTCTATGTCAGGTGATAAAAAATTTCTAAAATTAAATAATGGTGATGTTACATAACCTTTCGAACATACTAAAAACTGTTGTATATTTTAAAATGGTGAATTTGATGGTATGTGAATTGCATCTCAATAAAAACTAAAGGATTTTAAGCAGATTATGATACGGGCAGACTTTGAATAGCCAGCTGTCTGGTAAGACCATTTAACCTTGCATTTTCTACCCAAATGTTAAGCAAGAAGCAACTACTCAGTAAACAAGGAGAGCCCATTATAAATTATGAAACACATTTAAAAATCTATATTGTATACAATATTGGTTATAAAAATGCCATGCAAAACCATGCAACAGCAAACAATACGTAATGTAGAAAGTCCATCTCCTGTAATCCTAAAATTTCAAATAGCTGGTAAAGTCAGTTTGCTTTTCGTCTTTGAAATTCCAAGTAGCATGTCATGACTAAATGGTAAACTCTCTGTTCCAAGCAGTGCTTCAGGGACACAGGTTCCTTCTATCTTCTGTCTCCGTCATCAACACAGCTGCTGAAACTGCTGTTGAAGGAAAAAGATCCTGGAGAGCTGCCCACAATTCCATTAGTCAGGTCTCAGGCACATGGCCATCATTTTCTGCAAGGGAGCCTGAGCTCACCATTGGTTGTTGGGTATTGGATAAAATTAATGAAGAGGGAAAAACCGGTAGCCAGAATTGTGGGGTTAAGGGCAGAGGGGTTCCCCACAAATCATCACAGGTCCGGTAGGCACAATTGTACAGCGATAATAAGTAAGGATTACAGTAAAGTCATAGAGAGCATGAGAGTTAGAGGAGAGATTGGAATAAATGGAGTCAGACACAATTCATGGTAGCATTGCTCACCTCAGCCCTGCTTGATGGTCCTCGTGAGGGGAATCCAGCCACGAGAGCAGGAGCAGCCTCGGGGACCAAGAACTGGGAGCCTCCCCTGGCCCGAGAGCCAGAGAGGGCCCCGGGAATCGGGGAGAGCCTTTCTTTATTGCCAATCACGCATTATATCACTTTAGGGGGACATGATTATAGAATCACACGTCACAGGAATGGGCAGTACAATAGGCATACACATTGTAGGAAGGGGATCTATGATAGGCATAAGTGTAACAGGAAGGGATGAGCTAGGGGTGTGCCTATAGGAATGGGAAGGTCTAGGGGTATACATGTGACAAGATGGGTGGACCCTAGATTCATGACGGGAACCTAATTTTGGTCATCCTTGGGCGGGTTTGACCTCTCCTGTGTCCTACAAGGAAACAGACAACTACTATCCTTATCAGAAGGGAGTGGGCCCTACTTGTTGTGGGATAAACAGTGGTGTCTGTTTGGTCTAGACAGCTGATAACTCTCAGGGAGAATGACCCCCAATCCACTCCTGATGACCTCCAAGTGTACAGTCATTCTCAAGCAGTTAAGTCTGGCATATATTTGGGGGAGACAACTTGGGAGCAATCCTTCTGTTTCCCACACAGAAGTCCACATCTGTCCTGAAGAGCACCCTAAATGGCAACACCTGTGTCCACGATAGATTTTAAGTTCCAAGAGCGCAGTGACAGCCTGATTTGTCTGCCGCTCAATCCCTAGTCACAGTGACGCGACAGACAGGGTGGAACTGCCCCCGTGAGTTTCCGAGACGGTCCCTCTTTACGAGAGGGAGCAGAGGGTCGCTATGAGGAGGCATCAACTCGATGGCAGTGAGTTTGCTTGTTCTGGTGTCCCCAGTTACGACTGCTACAAGGCTCCATGGTGCCTGCCATCTAGGAAGAGCTCAATAAACTTTTGTCTCATGTGTGAAAAGACATCATTAAAAATCATAGAAATTATCTTAACCACTTCCCACAAAGTTTGGGGGTTTTTCGCTACTAGTATTTAGTACTAGTTTAGGAAGCCTTGGGGGCACAGTGGGTAAAGACTGCTAAACAAAAGCTCAGTGGTTCGAACCCACTGGCTCTTCTGTGGAGAATGGGCTAAGGGAATCTGCTGAAAAGCTTTACAGCCTTGGAAACGCTATAGGGCAGTTCTGTTCTGTCCCATAGAGTCACTTTGAGTTGGTGTCACTCGATGGCCATGGGTTTGGTTTGGGTTGGTGTGTGTCTAGCGGTTGCCCCTGACTCAGTTCTAAGTCATGTGTGTCTGAATCCAATTGTGCTCCATAAGGTTTTCAATGGCTGATTTTTCAGAAGTAGGTCGACCAGCCTTTCTTTTTTTTTTTTTTTTAATCATTTTATTAGGGGCTCATACAACTCTTATCACAATCCATACATACATCAATTGTGTAAAGCACATTTGTACATTCATTGCCCTCATCATTCTCAAAACATTTCCTCTCCACTTAAGCCCCCGGCATTAGGTCCTCATTTTCCCCTCCCTCCCCGCCCCCCCCCATGAGCCCTTGATAATTTATAAATTGTTATTTTGTCATATCTTGCCCTGACCAGCTTTTCTTGCCTAGATATTTCTGGGTGGATTCAAACCTCCCAATTTTCTGTCAGCAGCCAAGCATGTCAACCGTTTGCACCGTGCTAAGACTCCATAGTCTAGTTTCTCTGTAAAGTCAGAAGTTCCTCGAGGAGTAGGGGCTGTGGCCTAGAGGCCTAGAATACAAAGATCCTTTATAAAGTGATCTCACATGCATTGTTTCTATTTCTCACGATGAGTCCAAGAATGATTGTCCTCATTTTATGGATGAGGAACCATCCTTCTCCTCCCTGTGTCCTCTTCCCTTTTCTTCTGGGATGTGTGTTTTATGCATTGCTTCTTCTATGTATGTATTTTCTGGCTCTAAACAAGCTAGACATTTAGAAGGGCTAAGTGTAGAGCAAGTTATAAGGAAGACCAAGGCTATGTGCCTCGTGGCCTTGTGTGCCTCCCAGTTGACAGGCTTTGTAACTCTGGGGTGACTGTGATTTTGTTAAATGTATTTAAAATATACAGACCACAATTTTTGTATGCTGTCCCTTTCTTTTAAACATTGAGGTGTCAAATTCCAAGTTCAGAGAAGTCAAGTAGACTGAGAAAGTCTGACTTTTCATAAAGCCAACACCCTACTCACTGCCATCTTGTCAATTCCAACTCACAGAGACCTTATGACTACATCCCTTAATAAATAGCCAAAACCAAGTCTAAGATTCAGCGTGCTCAACCATGCTGTCTGTCACAGGGTTTAAATTCATGGGAGTTAAAACCAGACAGACGTGTTCCCAACAAAGTTCCAACAGTTACTCTGTGACCTTGGCAAGCACTTCATCTGCTTCATTTTGAAACGTGAGGGGCACAATGGTACCTACCACGGAGTGGCTATTAGAACTGAATGGATATGCACGGGAAGTACCCAGCACAGCCCTGGCATGTAGTCAGCGCAGTAAATGGTGGCTGTTATTATAAGAACTGTTTATTGAATGAGTGACTGTGGCATATAACGCCAGCATTCAACTTAAAAGCACAGAACTGCCTGAGTGTATCAGCTTTATGAAAAAAAAAAAAAAAAAAAGGGAACTGTAGCACTCGCCAATTTTTTCTAGAAATAAATCTTTGTGGGAGGATAATGATCAGTTGGAAAATGTGAGCCTGAGGGAACAAAGATCTGATCCCAAGAAGCTGGGAAGCTAAGTCTCCCCAGCGGGATGCGACCACTGAATGGAACCTGCTCGGAACTGGGCAGCAGGGAGGTGGGCACGCCGAGTCCTGGGCGAGGTAGCCGTAGCCAGATTTTAGCGGAAGGGGTAGGACCTCTAGTGTTCGCTCATCTTATTTGGGGGGGCCCCACCCTAAGCGTCGGGAGGAAGGGCTCCGCAGGCAGCGGGCGGAGGCTGCGCGCGGCCCTCGACCTGACCATCTATGGTCACAGAGCGCAACGCACAAACAGGAAGTGGGATGAGAGTCGTCGAGTTCTTTTCTCCACCTCCTCTTGGTGAGCAGAGGGGCGGCGTCGGGCACGCCATCACCGACCCCTTCCTCACACCCAACCTGCGCAAAGCCTCCTAGAACACTGCCCAGCCCCACTCCCTTGCTACGACACAAACGGAGAAACTAAGGCACTGCATAGGTAGGCGGGCGGAGGCATGGTCTGCACCCCCACGCACAGCTGACGGATCCGGATTCGCACCCTCAGAGAACCCTGCCGCCTGGTCCTTCCTAGACCCCTTCCCGGCTGCAAAGGGGGACCTTGGCTATGAAGACCCAACTCCTCTATCCTCCTTCTCCGAAGGTGGAGATTTTTCAGTAACTGCGACCCTCCAGTGGCCAAAGGGTCGCTATGAGTCGGAATCGACTCGATGGCAGCGGGTCGCGTGTTTTTGCTGGGGGCGGGGAGGAGTCGCTCAGAGTGGGAATGGGCTCCACCGGGCCAGGCTTTTTTGTTTCATTGGTCTGGGTCTGACGGGGCGTTTCCGGCTCCAGCTCCAGTCGGCCGCGGGGTGTGGCCCGTCCGGTGGGCACGCCCTCTTCAGGGCGCTCCCGCCTTCGGGGCGGGGCTCTTTCCCTGTGCCCTCTGGGCTCGCGGGGATTCTCTCTAAGGGGCGTGGATTCTGGGCGGGGGGTGGAGTCCGCGGCCGGGCGGTCGGACTGCGACCCGCTCCCTTTCTCGCCCAGCGATTCCGCCCGGGGTTCATTTCCGGTGGGGGTGCCGCCCTCGGTGAGAGCCCGGAAGTGGGTCGCGCGAAGATTGCTGGGCGGTTCTTGCCGGAAGTGGAGAGCGGCTGATCGTAGTCCCGAGGTGAGGCTGAGCTCCGAGGTGAGGGAGCGCTGGTGGGTAGGGGCTGGGGTGCCCCCCGCGTCCACCGGCCCGCGGCGTCGTTCAGGGCCCCCCTGGCCTCCGCCCGGGTGGTGAGCCCTGCTGAGAGGGTAGGGGGTGAGGCCCTCTGGCCGACCCGGACTCCTGGGCGCGGTCCCTTGAGGTGGGGCCAGGTTGACCAGCTGAGCCAGCCTGTACCCGGGAGGTCCGGCCGCTGGATTCGCGGCGCTGCCTGCCTGCCCCTGCGGAGCCCTGAATCTTAAGGTGCCCTGACTGAAAGCAGTATCTGAGACTTTAGAGCCGTTGCTATTATTCTTCTCTCTCGCCCCCATTGCACGGATGGGTAAATTGATTGCCGGGACGAGAAGTTTGTCGGAGGTCTTACATTGAGTGAAGGAGAGGATTGGAATCATGATCCCGTTAAACCCTTCCCAGCGTTCATTTCCCGAGAACCGCTCTTGACCGTGGGGTGGTCTTCCTGCGGGTGCTGCCTCTCCGTACTCCCCCGGATAAAGCCACGTGCCGCGTGGAACGTTTTCTTTTAATGCAGCTTTCTGAAAGTGTAGGGAGTTTGTAGAAGAGCGAGGCAAGTCCTTGCCGTTTGCATTCTGGTAGACTTCCCTTCCTCTTAGTCCTCGCTCTTATTCTGAAAAGCGAAACTAACTTTAGGTGTAGGGTAGCTCTCGACCTAAACCCATGGCCCCACTGTCTAGTATCTGTCGCTCTAGATGCCTAAGTCAACTTATCTGGGTCTTAATTTTCTCATCTTTTAAGTGGAGATCTCTGCTCACCTCACAAGTTCTGCCAGATTTTTAAAAATGCAGTTTTGAAACGCAACGAGCTAGACCTCATGGAGCTAGCAAGAGGTTTCAGAGGCTTTTAACAAGTTTGACAAGAATAGAATGTTGTTAAGGACTAGGAGTTTAGGAAAAGCCTTTTGAAGAAGCCAGAGAGGTACGGTGATATCTGAAGGATAATACACAGGAAGACACTGATGAAGAGGGGGATTTGAACATTTTAGACAGGTTATCATCATACCAGCTTTAATTAAAGCCCTTTTTAGAGATCATTGTTCAAGTGAAAATCGGAGCAGCCCAGAATATTTGTCATTCAGCAAGTATGTATTAAAGTCTTCATCTGGGTGAGGTAAGAGCAGAGGTGTATAAAGCGGGAGAAGGAGCGGACAAATCAGGATGCCATACTATACTGTGTAAGGATAGTGGGCTACAAAAGCATAGAGGATGTGTGCTGGGGCCAAATTTCCAGGTTTCTTGGAAGAACTAAAAAATAAAACCTATTACCATTGAGTTGATCCAGACTCAGTGATCCGGTGTGAGAGTAGAACTGCCGCTTTGGTATTCAGAACTGTAAATCTTAACAGAAGCAAGCAGCCTCCTGTTTCTCTCACAGAGCAGCTGATGAATTTGAAATACAGACCTTGTGGTTAGCAGCCCAACTCATAACCCACTGCACCAGCAGGGCTCCTTTCTTGCTGGAATGAAGGCTAAGTCTTACAGAATTTATGTAGCCATAAGAAGTCCTGGTGTCATTGTCATTGTAATATCAACAGTTTAGACTCACCAGCTGCTCCTCGGGAGAAAAGAAGAGGCTGTCTGCTCCTGTGAAGATGTACAGCTCAGAAACCCTGTGAATCAGAACTGACTCTGGCAATAGGTTTGGGTTCATGGTGAATCTGGAAAGAGGATTTCTAAGTGCAAGGATGTGGAGGTGCGAAAAATGGTGACTGGTTCAGTGTGCCTGGAATGTAATGTGTGAAGAATTAGAAGTGGGAAGTGATGAGGTTAAATATGAAAGACTTTGTGAATCGTGCTGATGTTTGAATTTTAACCTGGAAGCTAAGGAGAGATTTTAAAGGATTTTTTGTAGCTAAATGGTATGGTCAAATATATGTTTTAGAACTCTTGTCAAGTGAGAAGGGACTAGACATAGGAAGTAGACCAGCCTTTGGAAACTTGTCTTGGAGAGAAATGGTACTGGCTTGAACTAAGACAGTGACAGTGGGGGTGGAGAGGAGGGATCTGATTGGAGCAAGTCTATAAAGATGGAATCTATAGGATTTGGGGGCTGATTATGGAAGGTAGGTATAGGCGTCATTTAAAATGATTGCCTGGTTTTAAAGCTTAGGTAATTGACTGATACCAAGATGGTATCAGTAGATTGAGTAGATTCTAACTAATAGCAACTAACAGCAACTCAGACTAATAGCAACCTTACAGGACAGTAAAACTGCCCTTGTGAGTTTCCAAGATGCTAAATCTTTTTTTTTTTTTTAATCAATTTATTGGGGCTCATAAGATGCTAAATCTTTAGTGGAGTAGAAAGCCTCATCTTTCTGCCTCTGGGCACCTGGTGGTTCCAAACTGCTGGCCTTGTGGGTATTAATCCAATGCATAGCCTGAGGGGACACTGGAAGAGGTGACATGGGCAGAAAACCAATTTTGGACATCTTTAAGATATTTACAGTACTCCCCCCAAAATGTCTAATGTAATTCAGCAGGAAATTCAAGAACAAAGCGAAGATGTGGAAGCAAAAGATGGACCTGTGAAGAACTGGAGCCTGGCGTTGGTGTCCAAAGATAAAACTAGAAAAAGAGAGCCGTCTGCCGGACTGTTAGGGGTTTTGATGCCTTGTTAAGCATTTGAATGAATCTTGCTGTAATCCAGCATACAGAAAATTTCTGTAGGAATTTCCTGCATTTTTCTTCCCCAGAAATACTCTTTATCAATCAGGTGGGCATAAATGATGTCTCAAAGGGGTTCGCAGAAGACTTTAGCAATGAAATTGTTTTGTCAAGTACAACCTACTGTATAAATCAAAATTGATGGTATCATTAAGCTCAGTGAGAGAGGGGATTTTTACTGAGACAATGAGTTTGTATCATGTCTGTTTCCAACCTGAAAAACCTTTCTTTCTTTTCCTCTCACTTTGTTCTTTGGTTATATGTACATTTGTTTAGTTGCAGCTATTTTTACTTTTTGTTTAACCAAGGACTGAGCCTATAAAAGGTACTTCCTCCTGTAGGTTTTTTCTGAAGCATTGTGGAGTCAAAGATTTGTTTTACTTAAACAAATGTGAAGTGCCATTGAAAGTTGAGCTACTGGTTTTGAAATTTAATCCTGAGATTTGAAATCTGAGGGTCTTTCAGCCATAACTTAAACCAATCCTGGTGGTTACTCTTTACTTGTTTTTAGTGTCTTTACTTTTACTAACCTTTCCCTACTTTGTATTAACTAAACCTATAGGTATTGATACAGATTCCTCAGCTTTTCTACTACCAGAGTAATCTTTAAAAAACGCTTTCATCTTAATTACTAGTCACTGGTTTAATATTACCAAAATCAAGTCCAAACAAACTTTACTGTCCATCTTATAAAATTGTGTTGTATTGGATGAAGCAGATTAACTTCAAAAAGTCCTAAACCACCCAGAATCTGGATGGCAATGTGTTTGTTTTTGACATTACTATATACTAAGTAGGAGCCCTGGTGGCATAGTGGTTCTGTGTTGGGTTGCTAATCTCAAGGTCATCAGTTCGAAACCACCAGCCAATCAAGGAAGAAAGGAGACTTCTTATTCCTGTCAAGAGTTAGTCTCAGAAATTCAGCAAGAGGCAGTTCTTTCTCCTATAGGCATTGATTAGATGGCTGTGAGGTTTTTGTTTTTGTTATGGTGTGATTGGTTCTGTGTTGGCCTCCTAGGGGGAAGGTCCCCAGTTTGAACTCACCAGCTGCTCTTAGGGAGAAGTTGAGGCTTTCGGGATTTCATACAATTTATAATTTAGGAAACCCTAACGTGCAGTTCTACTCTGCCCTGTAGCCCCCACGTTGGAATGGACTCAGTGACAGTGGGTTATACTATCACAACAAACTGCTGTATTATCTTCTTATTTGTATCTCTTGTCTCTTACACTTCCCTTTTGCTACATACTGCATGCGTTTCTCAACTGGAGCACAATTGGTGTTTTGAGCTGGATAATTCTTTGTTGTGTCTGTGCATTATAGAATGTTTGACAACATCCTTGGCCTCTGTCTATGAGTTGCCAGTAGCACTCCCTCAATTATGACAACTGAAAGTCTCTCCAGACATTGCTAAGTGTCTCCCAGAAGGCCAGATGTCCCCTACTTGAGAAGCACGGCATGAGAAAGCATTGTAGCTTTGATTGTGCAGTGTTTTCTCTCACTAACTAAATTCTGGGGAGGCAGGCTTCTTGGCCATGTTTAGCAGTCTTTGGCACATGGCAAATGCGTTCTTCCCTGCAATGAATGAATGGTGTTTTCTTTGAGGCATCAGAAAATTACTCTTTCAGGGAATTCTGAGTGGTCCTTGAAGGATCTGCCCTTATTTCTCCCCCCTCCCCTATTGTTAATTCTCAGAGGGTGTGATCTTGATAGGGAAATTAGGCATAAGTAAGTGAGTAAATTGATGGTGTAATTCAGCAGATTGCTTTCTCAATGTTGGTGATATATGAATTCCTGTTTTGTTTATGTTGTCCGCTGGTAGACTGGCTTTAGTGGACAGGTACTTGTTTTATTTGATAGAATTGTTTTTTACTGTCTAGGTTAACACAGCTACAGCATTCACCATGAACTATTTTTCTATTTATCTTCATGGAAATCTAATGAAAAGAACCGAAGCTCTGTTTATTCTTTAGCTACAGTGCAAATTTCTTTGCCTGAACTACCATGCCAGATTTTTCCATTCAGCTGGAAAATAGTTATAGTTGAAATGTTGAACGGAAAAAGCAAACTTACCCTTCTTGTTGTTTTGGTAAGGTTTTTTTCCCCACTCCAGAGGCCATTAAAATTCTTATACTGAAGTTAATTATAGACTTGTAATCACAGAGTTCATATCTTTAGCTGTAGGTGAATCATGACTAGGGACAAATGGCATTCTTGAGTTTTCCTTTACATAAAGAATGAGAAATGTTGTTCTTATAAAGCAGCTACCCATCCTGAAGTCAGACCCAAACCAAACTCACTGCCACTGAGGACATTCTGACATTCTGACTCATAGTGACCCTATAGGATAGGGTAGAACTGCCTCTGGAGGTTTCCCAGTCTCCGTAACTCTTACCAAGAGTAGAAAAGCCTCATATTTCTCCCTTAGAGAGGTTGGTGGTTTCAAACTATTGTGATTAGCAACCTAACATGCATCCACTACTCCACCAGGGCTCCTTAACCTGAAGTCAGCCAGTGCGGACCCCCCCCTCCCCAAAAATAATAGAAAGGGTCTGCTGTCCTAAATGTGCTTAGCACAAAGGTCTCGACAATATTTCTGAAACTATTAAAATATTTTCATTTTGTTGAGAAC